TGTCGGTAAAATGTTTGTAGGTGAAATGAACCGGATCAATAATAAGTACGGTTAAAAAAAAAAAAAAAAAGTAAAGTTGGAAATTCATATCATAAAAAAACAATAATTTTTGAAATTTGCTGAGGAATTTTTTTTTTTAATTTTGACCAATTAAGAAAATCTTTCGTCTGCGCAGTAGAAGATGCAGTGTTTTTTTATTTTATTTTATTTTTATCCAACAAATTAAAATTACTATTAAAATTTCAGCCTTAATTCTTTTAAAAACATATTATAAATTCTAAATTATATATAATAACTTGCAGATTGAAAAATTTCTATTATATAACAAAACAATAATAATAGTTGTATAATAAATACTCGAAAAAAATATTCACCTTTAAGAAGGTTTATTTAAATATTGCAAGTTTAATTAAATTAAATAATAATTAATTAAAAATAATTATAATTAATAAAGGACAAAAAAATAAAGACATTAAATAATCGAAAATTTAGTAATTTCAAAATGTTCGCATATTTTTTATTTTATATTAACTTTTTTATTTTACTTATATACAAAAATCAAATTAAAAATCAAAGTTTAAAAAATTTTATATATTTTTTACAAAATTGTTTTATAAGAACACTTTGACTTAATCCACCATATTTAATTTACAATCGGTTAGTTAAGTCTTCGAATTTTGTTTTTCTAAAATTAAAGTCATTAAAACAAAATAATAAAAACGATTTTAGTAAGTTTAAGTAAAGAAAGAAATCACCCAAATGCAAATTACAATAAAATTTTATAGTAGGATTACCTATCACAGAATCCAAATTACATATATTTTATGCTAGACATATCCAGTAGAAAGTTTCGTATGCCCCTATTGTAACTTCACCAATGACCGCACTTCTTATGACCAAGAAGCCCCATATGCAACTTCACCAAATGACCGCAAGCTAGCATAAAGCATAAATATATAAGCTATAAAAATTTGACAAAAACGTCTTAATTATTTTTGGTAATAGCTGACATTTTTGGTTAGAATGATCCAGCTTTTCGGCATTCTTTTATTATGCTAAATAATTATCTTAATTAGCTTCAATATATGGTGATATAAAATTTCGAAATAAAGTTTTTTTTGGATACTTTTGTCTGGGCGTGTAAATATAAATTTAGTAATATACAGTACTGGATATACCATACTAAGTAAATTCAGTATAAAAAATTTGGGGCCCTCTTCCTTAACCACATGTAATCTGGATATAGTGTGGATAAGGCTATAGTTATTAAAAAGTCCTCTAGAACACACGCACCTGAAAATTCAATTGCTCCTTACCAACAATGATATCCATGAAATCATTGATTTGAAGATCGTACGGAATATTGTATTGTAAACAATAAGATTCAAAACAGTATAAATTGTTTGAAAGGTCGTAACTCGAAATTCGATCCAACCCGTTGATTCGAATTAATTTAATATTCAAAATCTGCATATAACCACACTCTGACGGTCTATATAAAAGTACATTCTCCCTCTTTTAGCGAAATAGAAATCCTACTAAAATCCTGAAAAAAATTTTTAAATTGCTTTGATTTTGCTTCACTTCCTGAAAAATCCTTGAAAAAGTCCTACGCTCATCCAAAATCCATAAATTGGTCAGATGATGATTTACCATTGATCAGGTTTTATAGTTTATCTTCTGACGAGTTCGCTAAAAAACGTTCGTCCATATTTTAAATCTTCTGAGAATGTAAATTCTTATTTGGATTTTGATATGGAATTGTTGATAAAAAGAATTGTTAACTTAAATATTGCCCTCGTTCTATCAAATACTCTCGCGTATCCCAATATCGATAATCTAAACATATCTGTCCAGATGTGATATTTGTGTACAAATCATTAGAACTATCAACCAACTTTCTGTTTTACTTACACCCTTAATCGTCCCAATGCCTTCAACAACACGGCTTCGAAGTTTATTGATTAGCATGTTGCTTCGACTTTTACTTTTTGTTTCAGGCTAGACCATTCTTCTCCGAACCAGATGTACATACCGCCTAGAAATTCGGATGACAAATAAGACAATCCAAGTCTACTAAATAGTTCTCTTCGTTATATGTGTAATAATTAAAACGCGGAAAAGTATACCTAATACACTCACTGTATTTTTAGAATTTCTAGAATCGTTAATGCTGATTGTGAGAGGAATTTCTGACAAATTCTCCGCTTGACAACTTCCATTATAAATTACTGGGTTTGACTACTTCGTCAAAAGATAAAAAATTTTCGTTGATAGTAATTTCAAATTCTTCGTCATCAGCTCTTCTTTTTTTTCGCTATCATCTTCATCTTCGGATGTGTATCTTTCAACAACCTTGAATAAAAAAAAGTCTTCATAATCTTCACGCTTCCATTTGCTAGTAGGTACGTCATCGCTAGCTGACTCAAAAACAAATTGAACACGAAGCTTGGAGAGATCTCTTCCTGTTTGTTGGTGTAGTTGGTGACTTGTAAGATGTGTAATTTATGATTTCTGTGGATGAAGATTCCTTAAGATGACGGAGACCTATTCCTTCAAACTCCATCATTCCTTCTTTCTAAAAATCAAAATTAAGTTAGAAAATATTAGCACTAAAAATAATTCTTTGTAAAGATAACTTACCTACTGTAATTGGCTTTTTTCTTCAATTATCTCAGTTTCCATAATAGTGCTTTGTCGATTCCAAAAGAGTTTTGTTGAGTTTGACTTTTAAAAAAATCACACTAATACATTTTTTTAGCCTACCAATATCGAGTTGTCGTTTTTCGTGGGAAAAATGGAAGTTTGAAAATTTTTTGGAACTTGTAATATAATGGACAAAATCATATTTTATGTAAAACTTTAAAATAAGAAAATAAAAAAAAAATTATTTTTTTTTTTTTTTTTTTTTTTTTTTTTTTTATTTTATTTTTTTTTGGTATTAGTTTTACTCGAACTCAGTATTCGAGAGTTGAATGGTCAAGTGCTTTATACTGCTATACTATAGCAGCACTAACATAATTTTTAATTTTAATTTAATATAAATCTCAACTGATTTTCAAATTTATCACATGATATTGCTCACCTGATCGGCTTTTATCAGAATTAAGATTAGTGACAAATTGTTTCTGGTTTCAAATTACTAAATTAATAATGATGCGCTTATTAATTAACCTAATATTTATACAACTTAAATTTTAAAATAAGAAATTCGTTAAAAGAAGATTTCTTTATTATAATAAAAAAGCAACCGCTAACAAGGCCTTGCATTCTCTCCTTTATAAACATCTAAAATTTTTGTCTAATATTTAGAATATGATCTTCCGAATTATGAACTCAATTAGGATTTAGCAGTCTGTCCTTACGATTTAAGAGATTACTATCTTTAGAGAAGTCTAATCATTCTAATCACTTATCTATAATAAGTAACCCATCAAAAAAATGTCATAAATGTTTTTAATTAATTTAAATGATATTCAAAATTGGCAATTTTGATAGGACCGGTCGGTTCTAAATCTTAAATTTTAAATTTTAAGAAATTCTGGGATTCTAAGAGGGTTTATTACTTATTATTATAGCTCATTAAAACATTATAATAGACGAGTTAATCTTTGTAATTTTCTTGGGACTTTTAGAACCGCTTAACTTTCAATATTCACGAAATATGCCTGGAATGTTAATTTCTATATAAAAATATAACTCTAGTGCTATAGCGTATTGAAATTAACTTTACAAGATCGTTCCTTTAATGGTCTAATTCTTAAGATCTGACTCAAGTATGAAATATTTGCTCATTCAAAATACTGGAATTTCATTTCCTTTATTCATTTTTATATAATATTTCTAAAAATCCAAATGCTCAAGCCGAATGGTTAATTTATAAATATGGTAGAGCTCATGCTTTATTTCACGCAGTGAGGCTCGGTAATAGTTTCATGA